CTATGTATACGTAGAAATTATGTATGTACATTCCCAATGCTGAAGTTGCTGACTTTTCAAACGCTATTTCTCGAAACTCACAACTCTGATTCCAAATGTTTTTGTTACGTTTTAATGCTAACATATGAAAGGAAAAAAGGACCCTAGAATTTTTTTTAATATTTTATTTTATAAGTTATGGCTCTTTGTTTACGAAATTTTTTCGTTTTGAAAATCACTACAAATTTTCGTACATCTTTTCAACTTATTTCTTAAATTAAAGCATTTAAAAAAAGTCCCAACTCTTTGCTGTTTCTGAGAAATAACAAAATGCTGTTTCTGAAAAATAACAAAAAAAATATGTTTTTGTATAAATTCACAATTTTTGCCGTCACTTAAATAGCGATGAATTAAAAAAAATCATCGAGAGCGTAGAGAGACATCTCTCTTATGTAATGGATATGAGTTTCATTGAATTTGATGAGCAGTTATGTTGCAATGCCCTTTACAGTGTTACAGGTCCGTAACCCTAACAGCATCTAAACAAATTGTAGAGCCTACCTTTGCCCACGTTTTCCTGTTGCTTCTACTTGCTCTTATTAGAAATCTATATCCTAACGTTGAACACATTTTTCTCCAACTTAGGTTCGATTAAGAAATTTCACACATAATGTTCGACGAACACTCTAAACTGCCTGCTAGAATTGTTTACAAGTAAGTTTGTATGGTGATCAGGTACAATATATATAGGCTCAACCAATCACAGCTCGAGTTTATGCAAGGTCACACTGCGCGCGTCATTCATAGTTACTGGGCTGGGAAAATCCATAAACTACAGGCCGATCACAAATAAGGACCCCATTTTTATCTCCTAAATTCTTTGCGTATAAAACTATACGGACTGAGGGATTGATCACGCACACACTAGTAGCCTACTCAAACGCGAGCGTGCGCGAACACTCGCTGGCTTATAATATATTAATTAACGATTAGGCTACGCCCCTTTGATTTTACTGGATTTAGTATTGCTTCAAATCAAAAGTTACAAAAACACTTTTTTGATAAAATATGTGTGTGTGTGTGTGTGTGTGTGTGTGTGTGTGTGTGTGTGTGTGTGTGCACGCGTGCAAGTACGCGCACGCATGCGCGTACATGTGTGAACATATACACACGTTTATTGCCATATCGTTCCGTTCGCTTCGCGATTCTGTTCGGGATTTTGTTCGAGATACAATGGGTACACTGAGTTTGAGGCAGACTTGCTGTTATTAGGACAAGCGAAATTGGCTTACAGGGGAACGGGCGTGCCAAACGCTTTTAGCTGTTATTATATCGAGGAGTACATGAATAGAGTAGACTTAATACACGCTAGAGCACGTTGAATGCATACCAGGAATACACGAATATATATCACTCTATACATTCACTCCTGATTATTTGGCGTTGACGCAGCAATTGACTGTAAGTGACGCGACTCGTCGTGTGTTGTTGAGGTGCACCGACCGTGGACTTTCACTCTTTCGACCTCTCTGCTACTTTTAGCAGGTGCCACTGGTAAAAGTTGACAGCTCCATGTTGTCCGTATAGTCATATAGTACACATTATTATGGCAATCAATCGCGAATTGATGAGCAGGGCTGCAGCGTTATAGCAGTATTAAAAAGCGGGCGACCATTAAAGCTGCCGTAGCCGCATGGGTTGTTCCGTGGCTAGACTTTTGCAAGCGGACCATCCTGAGCAGTGTTACAGAAACGAACTCGAAGATGCTGAGCGGGAACCCAATGCCGAAAGTAAACATAACAAACTCCTTCATCCCTACAATATCCCTTCCTCGCTTCATCCCTCTCTCTCCCTCTTCTGACATCCCTTCCATTCTCCTCTCTCCCATCTACTCCCTTTATTTCCCTCTCCCTTCTTCTTCTCCCTCGCTTCTCCATTTCTCACTCTTTATTCCTTCTTCTCCTCCATTATCTTCTTCTCTCTCCCTCTTTCGTCCACATTTCCTCTATTTCGTCTTCTCTTTCCTCTCCACACACTCTCGCTCGCGACTCTCTCCCTCTTCCGTCTGTCTCTTTGTCCCTTGACTCCCTCTCTCACCGTGAAACACTACATCAATTATCACTGAGCTAAACTCCTTTACCAATTTACTTTTACCATTAATATTTGCATCGAGAAATTTCCATAGAATGCCGCGTTTGTAGCGCAATATATATATATATTTTATATATATTATATATATATATTATATATATATTGCGCCTACAAGAGCTGATAATACCAAGATAATAGCTAAATGCTTATACGTATGCATAGTTATATGTGAATATACCACACGCGGCGCGCTAGCGTGCGTGCGTGCCGCGCGCGTGTAAGTGTGGCGTGTGTGTGTGTGTGTGTGTGTGTGTGTGTGTGTGTGTGTGGTGTGTGTGTGTGTGTGTGTGTGTGTGTGTGTGTGTGTGTGTGTGTGTGTGTGTGTGTACATATTTCGTTTTTCGGCTACGCAGCCGATGTTATTGAATATACATATATTATATATATATACGACGAATATATAATGTGTGTCATCTATCAAGAGAGTGCGGAAACAATTTATAAACGAGTAGAATTATCACTGGCGTTGCTGTGGCATATAAAGTGAAATACATAAATGCTTATTTAGAACGCACGCTCGCGCACACGCACACACACACGCGCGCGCGCACACACACAAACACGCGCACATGCTCACGCACACGCACGTACGTGCGCACGACCGCCCCCACACGCACACGCACACAAATGCACTCAAGCAGATCCGCACGCACGCACGCACACACGTACGCACACACCCACACGCACGCACGCACACACACACAGATATATTTACACAAACAGCTTAAATGTTTCTAATGGACAGGTACTTTCTAGTGAATCATGTTTCCCGCCTCTTTCAGGCCTCCTCGACCTCATCTAGCACATCCATGTCACTTCCAATGTACATGCTGATGCCACTGCCTTCACTTGCGGCATCTGAAATGTAGTCATCAACATAAGTTTATTACTACACTATTTTCCAGTGGCTATATTGTACTGTTGGCATTCTTATCTATAAAATTAAGCAAACAGAAAGGAAACCATAAGAAGAAAGATAATGGAACCACTTATAATATTCTTATATAATATTATATTCTAATATTATATTATATATATATATATATATATATATATATATATTATATATATATAATATTATATTCTAATATTCTAATATTATTATAGTCTACACTTGTTCATCAGTTTCACAGTTTCTTCATGTGTTCATACACAGTTAACAATCGCCTGTAGTTCATATAGAACATAATAGTTACATTACAACAGTTGAGATATTGCAGTCACTCAATAACACTACCACCTAACGAATAAGAGCTTATCTGCTTCTAACACATTATATACCAATAGTACAACTTTATTGTGCGATTAAATTGAATTAAAATTGTGAAATATGCGTATTCAGGATATTGTTCTTGTCATCTACAGGCGTTTTGAATCAATATCTACATCAGTGTTCCTGCTACATTTTACTTAGAAAGTATTACAGATTACGAACCAATCGGAGACACCAGATTGTCTGGTTATAGTTGAAGCCGCATAACAAGCTAACTTTCCAATGTAAACTATTAGGAGTAGTGAGAGTATGTATTAACTGTACTAATCCTACACACAGGTAACTTGTGACTACATAGCCAGATACTGCATCAATACCCTCTGCTCCTGCCTGCTCTAGAATACCACGGCCCAGAAAATCCGGCTCTTCTTTAAAAATGCGCGCGCTCGCGCACGCGCACACGCACGCACGCACGCACACACACACACGTTACGATAGCTGGTCTTCCAAGCGGAGATGGCGCATCCGATTTTGCAGAGCTAAAGTGTTACATTGTGTTTAAACAGCTAGGGTAGTCACGTGCTCATTCAGATTTGGCACGTGTCCAGCAAGCGTGGTGATATGTCCAGCGGGCTTGGTCACGTGTCCAGCAGGCGTGGTCACGTGTACAGCAGCCGTAGTTGTGTCCAAAAAGCATGCAGCGCCCCTTCGTACACTCAGGATACCACTGCCACAATGCTAGCACTATTTTTAAAGTGGGCGGAGCTCCAGGGAAATCCAGCGAATTGAGATTCGTAAACAGCGTATGATTTGAAAGAGGTAACTGGGCGCACAATCCGCGTACTATTTCGTATCACTATTTTATCAAATTTTACATAAAAAAATAGTTGGATTTTTAATATCTTTGCAACTTTTATTAGTCCAAATCTTATTACATAGGATACGAGTAACGTGGCTGCTGTAAAACTTGTAGTAAAAAAGCGTTACAAATTGTAACAAAAAGCTGCTTGTGGCAGTAACCTGTATAATACAGTCGTTATGTTCCACACGGCTACACTAACGCCTGTAAGCGTTATCGATCGACCAGTTGTTATGGCGGATATCTGATTAGCGGCGAGCAATCAAGCTGATTGGATGACCTAATAACAGTCGCTGCGACCTGCTCACTCATTGGCCGGTCTGGCTCAGTCAGCAGCCTCCCACTTTCATATAGTAAGGTGTTAACGCTCTGGTGAGTAGGCCCTCTAGCGGCCGTTACAATCAGGAGCGGTAATCATTAACGTTAGTGGCAGTGGTAGATTGAGCCCATGAGCGAGAACGCCATCTGTAGTGGAATTTGAGTCGTGTCCAGCGGGCGTAGTCACGTGTGCAACTGACGCGGTCACGTGTGCAACTGACGCGGTCACACGTCCAACTGACAAGGTCACGCGTCCAACTGACGAGGTCACGTGTCCAACTTACGAGGTCACGTGTGCAACTGACGCGGTCACACGTCCAACTGACAAGGTCACGCGTCCAACTGACGAGGTCACGTGTCCAACTGACACGGTCACACGTCCAACTGACGAGGTCACGTGTCCAACTGACACGGTCACACGTCCAACTGACGAGGTCACG